CTATATCGATATAAACGATATTGTCACATCTTATATCTCGTATAAAAATATATCGATATTTTTAAAATTACTCGATATATCGCCCAGCCCTAGTGCTGCCACTCATTTGACATTTCTTCCATCATGTTTGTTTTTTTGTTTGTTTGTTTTTTTGTTTGGAGACAAAAGTGACCAAACTCCAAAGGACATTAAGGTAAATAAGGTAAATGCTGTTCTTCAGTGGGAAGGTCATCAAATGTGAAATCTCACTTCCTGATGTGTTTTTGGATCAGTCTGGGAGCCCTAAATATTTGTCCCTAACAAGCAAAAGTAGCAAAGGTAAATCAGAGTTACTTCTAGCTGTAATTAAGTAACAATAGTACATTTACTAGATTGTGCTTTTTTCAAGCTCTGGCCATTTTTTTCTGTATATAAAAAGTGAAATTGATTTCTATAGCTCCTACTGACCAAGAAAGGTGACAAACAACTTCCCCTCCTTGTCTGATGGATGGATAATATCAGGAGAGAATAACACCCGATGTACGTTATAGACAGAGAAACACAGTTTACTCGTGGTTCAGTCTGACAAGAGTGAAAGCAGGATGACAGCCTGTTGAATGACAACTTGAGAGAAAGCCCAAAAAAATAGTGTTCACATTCATTTATTTCCTTTTTCGCAACTGATTGCAAGTACTTGTGCCAACCAGCTGGTTGCCTAGAGGTTGAGCATGCAGCATGTGACATCCTCAAGCTCTGGGTGATAACTCTAAATTGTCTGAGGGGAGGCAACCTGTCTCCGAACCATCATGGTCTCTCTTGGACTGACTGTAATCACTCAGACTGGTGAAGGTTTGCAAACAATTGCTGTTTAATTTGTAAGTGTAGGCAAAGGTCAACATGTTGCACTCAATCCGAGTCATTCTGTGCTAATAAGCGCAACTCATCTACGTCTCGTCTCTTTGTGAAAGAGGACTCCACTGGTTTTCTGCTTTTAATCCTACATCAAAGTAAGGTTGCAGTCAAACTGCTGTCCTGCAGCAACTATGTCACAGTTTCAGATCTTTGAGTTTCTCTGTGCACGCTAACCACTCTGCCGCCCGACTTTTTATCTGCTGATTTATCCTGATTTATCATGTGTTTTACTCTAGATTAGTTGGACCGTAAACTCATCAGTAAAGTGGAAAGTAGAGTCATTTTCTTATTTGACTTCCTTATAACCTGAGGAGGAAGAGTCACTTCACGTTGGCTGTCAGGAAGAATGGCCATTGGTTTCATATTTCAGACCTGGAGGTTACATCTTGTTAGTTTTGATGTAGTCTTAGTCCAAGAACACATAGTACTCCATAAGCTAATACTGAAGCCTTGTGCAAATAGACACCTGATTTTTGTTAGCTGCCTCCTCATGTTTGTTTACCAACACTTTAAATTATTTTCATCTAGATCTCCTTTCACTGAATCATAGACCTTTGTGACCATCGATTTCCATTGCAACAACTAACTTTCATATGTTAAGAAATAAAAATGAAACATTTGCATGCATTATTTAGGTACACTTGGTTTTGAAATAAACACATATTTATATCTCGAAACATCTGCCATGATGGATTTTTAATCAGTTTTATGTAATGAGATAATGGAGCAATCCTAGCTACGATAGCACTAACTTTTTATGTGCCTTTATTTTTGGAAAGAAAAACAAAAGTATTGCTGCCAATATCTGGCTTTGATGCAGAGGAGTATAGTTACATTTTAATTGTGACCCAAGGTCACGAGTCGTGGCCCTTGCAGAGTGAGGTGAAGATGATGTAGCTCAGGATGGAGGAGGTGAGGACAATGTGTGAGGAAAGCGACATGTGATGCAGTGCAGGCGAATAAAACTGTGCAAACAGCACAGAGGTGAAGTCTATGTGTCAGTTCGAGAGGCCTGATGAGAGGTGTCGTTTGGTATTTTTATCTTTTGAAAGAAAAAAAATCAGTTCTTCAGTTTCAAGAACAGCGTGTAGAAAACTTTACACAGTTTTAGTTGGTGCACAATTTCCCGTCTGTCACTGAGACAAAGATCATCTTTAAAGGTAAATGTTTTAAAGCTGGGTGTCTGGAATATTAAAAGACTTCATTTACATTTCATTTTAATTGAAGAT